AAAGATATCATCACGAAATGAACAAATCTGAGAAAGGTCCACATGTAGTACCTATATATGTAATATCAAAGCAATTGGACTTGAGGTTTTTAACAAGAAGTCGAAAATATCACTTTTTACCAACAATTACAAAAATATTCACCCAAATTAGAGAATTGAAGATATCATGAAATGAACAAATCTAAGAGAGGTCTACCCCAGGTACATACACACCAAGTATCAAAGCATTCAGGCTTGTAGCTTTCAAGAAGAAGTCGAAAAAGTAAAACATTGACACAGACGCCGGACAATCACTCATATGATAGGCTCCGCTCGACAAAGTCGACAGCGGAGCTAAAAAGTGAAAGTCAGCAGTAAACACAGTCTTGTATAATTTCCAAAGTGAGTTCATTGAAATTGCAACGACATGATGTCACTAAAAATGATTTTACATTCATGGGGGAGAGGGTGAGGGGGTAATTTTTTGCCAATTGAACACAAACAATATGAGAACATCTTTTTAACCAACTTTACTTGCTGGCATGTTTTCATCAAAATGAATCTATTAAAAACTTGTGAATCCAATCAATCCTGGCATGTTGTTAGATGGTCATTATGGAAAACGAAATGGATGCTTGTTGGCCATTTTTGAACCAAATTTTTAAAACTCTCACAATGCACTATATGTTTGGATGTGAATCTACAGTCAGTTTTAGATTTCATACAAACTGGATAACAACAAATGCTACAGCACACTGGAATACTAAAGAATCATGATTCAAACAAGTTAAATTTAAAGTTCAAGACCTATGCTGCTCAGCACGTGAAAAAAGGACAGGTGTCATAATAATTTAATGATTATCAAAAAAAGGTTAACACAAGAGGATTTTAAGAGCTCAATAAACACTTAAAGTGTTTTATGTCTCGCAGAGGTAAAATTGCTGGTATTAAATAATAAATATATTTACATATTAATGATGCAATAATAAACTTTCAGCATTCCATCAATATTAAACTGCATAAGACATGACAAACTTTTTATAAAAATAGTATCAATACTACATCAACTCACATGGGTTGATTCAAATGACTATATTGTATTACTGTGAAAGTAAGTTAAGTTGTGGCCATAGGCTGAATTTGTGAAGGAATTGCATCTCAAGTAATCTTAGCTATGGAAAATGAAGCACAAATAAAAATGTGATTTATTAAGTGAAGAAAATTTTATTCCAGAGAGGGTCAATGGGAGTAAGATATCGGTACTCAATTATGTTTCCATAGTGTTTCTTACCGGTAATTATAAGATCTTACTAGAAATAAAATTTAAGCAATCATAGTTCATGTATATTGCATGAAATAGATAAAATTAAGACAATGTGCGCAGACTTTTATACCCAAATCCAAAGGAATGTTTTACAAAGCCCTCCTAAAATTATTTCAACGCGACGACAGTTATAAATACACCTGTTACTATTTTAGTTTTTGTTTATTCATTTTTTGTTGCAGGAAATACTTTTTGTCCTAAATTCATTCAATTTTTTCTACTGTAATATTTTCTTGAAATTCCATGTGCTATTGATTATGCATTGAGTTCTCATGCAGTAATTCAATATAGAAGAAAATCTGCAGAAATCTTCAAATTTCCCAAATGATTATTTTATGCATATTCAAATTTCAATCATCTGAAGGACTTAATCAAAACTTTTGAAAAAATACAGTAAAACTGACCCAGGATTTATTTTGTTAAAGGTGACATAAGATACTCTGAAACTCAGAAAGGGGGAGAAATAAAAACTAGAAAAATGATGGATTGCCTGACCTGTCTTCTTAGAGTTTGTTCCATTTTATACATCTTATCTTCAGCATGTTTCAGATCTTCTCTCATTTCATCCATCTCATCGTCCCACATCTGTTGTTTTTCTTCGTATACTTTAAATATGATTTGTTCATTTTGCTCCATGGTTTGTCGCAGTATTGTTATCTGGGATTCATGTTCCTGTGAAAAAATTAAAGTCAGACTCTTATAATATGACCAAGCATGAATTATGCACAACTGACATTAAATTGAATGATAATGTGTGAAAAAACTCTTTTCAAATACATTTATAGTGTATTTGTATAGAAGATTGATATTTATCTAGAAACAAAGTTGTGAAAAAGTTACTAGAAAATTCCATTGATGGTGTCTAGAACCAGATTCTTGAAACTGGTGTTGAGTTATTATTTTTTCGATTCAAATGAGTACCATTTTTTTTATTCAACTTCACAAATTATGTTATTAAATGGCAAAGGTGATGTATCTACATGTAAAGCCAACAATACTACTATTATTATTATTATTATTATTACATGTATAATATTTTAAATTTATATTACAGATACATCTTAATTGGGAATTCATATTTTAAGTATAAAGACTTAAGTAATTGTTTAAATTAGCTATAATTTACATATTAAATTTTAAAAGGTTGTTTATTAAAGAGACATATTGCCTCTAATGGTATCTGACACGATTGATGAAACGAACAGCAGTTGGCTACCCTGCCCTTAGGTAAACCACATCAAGAGCAATAAATATTCCAATACAAACCAATTTTTAAAGTCTCATCAATAAAACCACACTCCAGTTGTCACTTCCATACACGTCCACCTCAACGATTAACATTTTTTCCTTTATTACACATCAAGCAGTGTTTATGATTGAATATTCTGAATACCATTTTACAAAAGAAATGCAATCTTATTAAATATAAGAAAAGGCACAAAGAAAAAAAAAAAAAATTGCTGTATGATCCACACACCATGTGTCACTACTCTAAGGCCTCATATTTCTTGAATAGTGTACAATAGGCAGACACGATATAATAGTGAGTGATTCATTCATAATAATCCCAACTCCATCTGTGTATTGTACACAATAATTTTGATGTTTTTATCAATGTTTTATAACAGGGAGGAGAATCAGTTTGGAGTCTCTTTAAAATATATTGATTTAACCCAATTTCACAGAAGAGAAATTCTAAGCAAATGTCATAGATGCGTTCAAATTAGATTTAAAAATAGAAGTTTTATAAAAAGGTGGTAGAGATAGATGTTATTTTGATCTTTGTTCTTCTTTAGCTCATACTATTGATCTGTGTATTTTATTTATTTATGTTATTTTTAATTTTATTTTAATATAAATTTCAGTATTTTAGCAAAGACTGAATTTGAAATTGACTTCAATACACAATTGGTAAAATTAACACAATTTTTGGTTGTCACTAGAACTTGTGTAGATTTTGTGAAAATCACTACAACTCCCCATGTCTTGAGGACCCCAGCAATATGTTAGCAGCTACTTAGCACAAGTTGGTAATTGGCTATTAAAAACTTTGTAGTATTAGCCGACATAGCTAAAACTACCAGAGAAGAGATGTCAATTTAGAAATAAACGTACTTGTAAGGCCAGACTTTTATTATCCCTTGTTTCGCGAACCCGCCGAATGAACAGAGCCGAAAATGAAATAAAAATAAAATTTTATTTCAGTGTAATTTCTCGACTTGTGAGTGCAAAAAATTGCTAAAAAAAATTATTTTTATCTTCATTTTTTTTCGCCCGCCGCTTAACAAAATCCAAGTTGCATTTTTATGGGAGTATCATGATCAAAGTACCGAAGTCTCGCACAGATCTATACTTTATGCGCGTTGGTTGACAGTGAATCTCGGGTAATGACTACTCTACGTGCTGCTTGACACTACTAGGTGAACATGGCGGCGGCGTAGTTTGTGGTGACACGCCGTGAAACTGTCGTCAAAAACCGAGAAATCCCTCATTAATGCTGAAAATTGTGCCCCAATTGGCGACATTGCCAACCAGGTTATGCATGGAATAAAATTTTATTTCATTTCTTCTCTCCGATCAATGATCTCACTTACAATTCTTTGAGAATCACACAAATCTAATGGAAAAAAAGAATTTAATTATATTTTTTCCCCCGCCCTCCTCAAAAAAATTTACTTATAAAAGCTCGAGAAACAAGGAATAAAAAAAGTCTGGCCTAATGTGAAAAAGATATTCTCTCTGTGAATGGTGGAAATTAAATGTAAAATAAAAGATAACTCTGAAATCATCATGTCAGTTCATTTCACTATATTAAAATACATAAATGTATACTGAAATTCTATTTATAAATTGAATTACAGTACAGACACGTTTTCCATATAAAATATATTATTGTTAGACAGCCATTTTGTTGACATCATGAAGTAAATGAAACAAGCCTGAACCTGCTGTATTTCACAATCATGACACCTTTGCATTAACTGAATATATCTGAAATTATAAATGAGAATTTCTCACTAACTGACAAATTAATTGTTCTACCCAGGTAATTTTGACACTTGCTCCCAGAATTTTAAGATTACGATAATATGCAAATGAAAAGTTTTGAATATTTGAACATTACTTGTTAGAAATTTTTCCCCAAAAAATCTGCAAACAAGTGCTTATTTAATGAAAACCACAGTACAAATTTATGCCAGTCTAATGTGTTGCAATTCTATCATTAATTTGTGTTATCTATATGCAGTTTTGTCAAGTTTTCACACAATAATCAATTTACCAACCCCTGCAGAGAATGACAAACAATGTCCATGTGATCCAAACTAAACAAAGGAATAGATAAATATCAAAAATAAATATTGCACCAAAATTAGACCAGGAATAAATAGCATCGGCTAATTTGCATTCAAATAATTAACAAATTTGTGTGCCAGTAAGGAGTATCCGGTATACACTATTAATTGGTTTTATTTTTAGTCATATTTTAATTCTCCCCAAATGAACTGCAGTAGTAACACAATTGATCAATAATATACAAAAGTCATGAAAGGGAGATGTGATGCTGTACTCTTTATCTCTATGTTATATATCTATTCATCTGCTATTATGCCTGTAGGGGACTCAATATTATTACAATGGCACATGTGCATGGAAATCCATATATAGAACAATGCATTAGATATTCAATATAACTAACTGTTGCAGCTAAATACTTTTAGTTTTTACAGTGATTCATAGTAAAAGGGTTCTGATGAAAATATCGCAGTATGCGCAACAGGACATCACAGCGGCTGGTGGTATTGACTGATAAATATCAACTGTTTATACGTAATACTTCTTATTCCCACTTGTTGGCAAATGGTAGAGGTAGCTAATGGTGGACTAATATTTCAGTAAGATGAGAAATGTGTGGATTTTATCCAACTGAGTGATTGTAAAAACTGAGGAGACC